AGCAGTAGCAGTAGCAGTAGCAGTAGTAGCAGCAGTAGTAGTAGTAGTCGTCGTCGTCGTCGTAGTAGTAGTAGTAGTAGCCGCAGCAGCAGCAGCAGCAGCAGCAGCAGTAGTAGCAGTAGTATAGTATTAATAATAGTCTGAGTAGTAGTAGTAGTAGTAGTAGTAGCAGCAGCAGCAGCAGCAGAAGTACTAGTAGTAGTAGTAGTAGTAGTAGTAGTGGTAGTAGTAGTAGTAGTAGTAGTCGTCGTCGTCGTCGTCGTCGTACTAGTAGTACTAGCAGTGATATCAGGAGTAGTAGCAGCAGCAGCAGCAGTAGCAGTAGTGGTGGTGCAGTGGTGGTGTAGTAGCGAAGTAGTGTAGTTGTGTGGTACTGTAGGAATATAATATTCTTGTATAGTAGTATTGTCAGTATGATTGCTACTCTTACTATATTCACCCGCAAGGTGGAGTACACACTATCATTATGGGGCTCTTACGTGAAGCACACAGAGAATTGGTTAGTGTCTGTGCGATGCACATGCGAAACTTTATGCGCTCCCACGTGGTGTGGGCCCATATTTTGAGATCATGTGCACTATGAAAAACGCGATCCCTGGCCGAGTCCTCCGCAAAGTGCGATTCATAGTAACTTCCAAAAGCCTCGAAATGTCCGAATCTGCCCGGTATATGGGGGAAAGCATCTTGGTCGTGCCTCTTACCAAACAGGGCAGCGAAGCATTGTGCTAAGTGTGTAGATCTGCAACACGCTGAATCCTGCCAGTACATGCTGGGGGAAACGATTTGATGAGTTCTATTCATGCGAATATGCACCTTGTTGCTGTGACTATTATCATTCTTGCTGTTGATGGGTACTATGGCAGTTGCTATGGGGCTCTATAATGGGGCCCCTCTTTGATACTAAAGAGTTCTACAATAAAGCCTCTTTAAGGGATCTATTGGGGTTCCGTTAAGGGCTCCTTAAGGGATCTGTTGGGGGTTCCGTCATTACCGTTCTTATTTGTGGCTGTTGGCAGCTATTATCAGTGTTGGTATCGCCAGCAGCATGACCTTCCCGGTACAGCGACTGAGCATCAATCAAGGCAAGTTCGCCTCTGTGAGGATGCATGAGCTTGTTGTCGGACGGGGGATTTCCCAGATTCCTAGACCCTCAGAAACCCTAAACAGTAAAGCGCTCACCCTAAACCCTACACTCGAAACCCTTGACCGTAAACCCAAAGGGATTCTAGTGGGGTTGGGGGTTCCAGAAGAAGGCAGCTCATTCAGACGAGGTGATTAGGGGCTCCGTTTTTGTTCGCTGTGTTGGGGTCCCTGAAACTCCCCCAAATTGACATTAAATCCTAAACCCCTAGGCCCTAGAGCCCTAGAATCTTGTTTTCAGAGACTCCCCCGAAAAGACAACAAGTTTACATGGATTACATGGAACACCGGCGCTCGCACGAGATTTCTCTGCAGCCGCTCGGGGAGCCAAACCTGTCCAGAACCTAGCAACGCCATGTCGCAGGGCTTGATTGTAGGGTTTAGGGGTTTAGGGGGTGTAGGGGTTTAGGGGTTTAGGGCTGAGGGTTTTGGAGGGGCACGGGCTTCTGCTCGAACAATGGAACCGATGGACCCGGTAGACAGCGGAGGAAGCCGCGAAGGATCAGGTATCAGATATCCCTAAGCTCTATAAACCCTAAGCCGCTCTGACTCAGACGTAATGTGACTGAGGTTCTGGAACGAACTTGGAACGCGAATCTGCTCGAAACCTGTGAGGGAAATCCATCCCTGCCAGGGAACTGCATTTCGGCTGATCCTGGCTGTGATTGGTAGGGCACCACGTGCTTTGTGATTGTCACTCCGTGGTGCGGCAGAGACTGCGACTTCATGCGAATGTGCTTTCAATAACAAAACTGCGATTCTGCAGCTGAGATCCGGTTGCCCTCTCACATATGGGTAGGCTCCTCCCGGTATAATACCTCTCCATCTAGCTACAGCTAGAGTCGGCCACTCTGGCGGCAAGAAGGAACGTCTAAGCGCACTTCACCCCAATGCTTCGGCCGGCGATAGCTACCAAGATGGGACTAGCGAAAGCCAGTGAAACGATGGCAGAACCCTCTACGAACCTACAAGCCTGCCAATCACATCACATTGTTCAGATCCTGCACGGGTGCGAAGACCATCAGCGAGGTACTCTTTCTGTGTTACGTCCATTCTTTCGTGAAAGGACTCGGAAAGTCTTCCGATATCGCCGAGGTTAACAGGAGATCGCTGCATTCGCTGCTCCTGCAAGCTCCAGCTCAAGGCGGGCCCGTGATGTCGCTCTCGCACTTGCTTCCGTCTTCCCCTATCCTCCACCAACTTCGACAAAGAGCCGTTTAGGGACTCACTGCCGTCACTGCCGCTTTCCTCTTTTGAAGTTCCAGTAGCCGGTGCTGTGGAAGTGAGAGTTCGACTGGCTTCCTCCTGCGTACTCTGCATGTCCTCAGCCGAGTCATTCGACCCGTCCGGTTACCTTTAGGGGAGGGTTTAGGGTTTAGGGTTTAGGGGTTTCGGGCTTACGGTTTAGGGTAAGATCCTCGTTCTTGGAGAGACAAGCCCTAGACGAAGTGGGAGAGAGTCCCGCTCGTCTTGTGATGGTGCACGGGAACACATGGGAGGGTGGGCGATAGCTGCCGGGAGCTCTGGCTTTTGGAAAGGATGCGTTTTTTGCCGACGTTCTCTGCTCAGGGTCCCTTTTAGGCTCCTTTTTTTTTTTATAAGGGTG